GGGGGTGCCTGAGGCTCCTTCAGTTGTGGTTGCCCCGGTTGAGACTGGTTTAGTAGTGGCTCCTGTAGTACCCCCTGTAGTGCCTGTCCCCGTCCTTGGGAAAGGGAGGAGGTTGGTGGAGGCTGCCAATGGGGCAGGGGTAGTGGAGGTAAAATCCAGACCGGCGGTGCTTGCCCCCCCGGCCCTTCTTCCTTGGAGGCGGAGCCGGGTGCTGGGGAAGGCTTTTCAGGAAACCCAAGGTCCGGTTCAGGGTGGGCAAGATGGGGCCCAAGTAGAGGAAGGATGGTCTTTGGTGAAGAGGCAGAGTAGGCCTGTCCTGTCTGCAGCAAGGTCAGCCTCTTCCCTGGAGGTGGAGGACCTGGCCCTGAGTAATAGGTTTGGGGCTCTGTTGGGGGAGGATGGGAGGGTCTTAAAATCTGTGAGTGCAAGAGAAACAGCCTTATTTTTGATCAGCGAGATGGACGTTGATATTTTCTTTTTGCAGGAGACCAGGCTGCCCACCTTGGCGGACATACATCTGGCCAAGAGGGAGTGGAGGCGTGTGCCATCCTACTGGTCCCTTGAGGCTGAGCCTTACAGCGGAGTTGCGGTGCTGTTTACCGGTATGGTAACGTGCCGGAGGGTTTTTGAGGTTGAGATTGGTAGATGTTTGGCCCTGGATGTCCTTGTGAGGGGGCAGGAGCTGCACCTGATTAACATTCACAAGGATCAAACCTTTTCTTTTTAAATCCTGACAGGTGGTCTTTGGAGGTGACTTCAACACCATAACTAGGCCCAAGGACAGGAGGGGCTCCACTGACCGCCTGGGGTATGAGAGCGTTTTTCTTAATTCTATAATCAGGGAAGCAGGTCTGGTAGATGCTTTGATTAAAAGCAATCCGGACAGCACTGGGTACACGTATAGGAGAGGTAGCAGCCAGAGTAGAATAGATAGGTTTTTTTTTGAAGGATGACTCTGCCTTCTCGGCAGCTGAGTGTTGGGCGGTGGAGTTCTCCGATCACTTTATGCTTACTGTAGTTTTGAATGTTTCAGACACGCCGCAGAGAGGAAGGGGCATTTGGAGGCTGAATTCGTCTCTGCTGGAGGACGAGGAGGTTAGACAATCTTTTGAGGTGTTCTTTCAGGCTCAGGAGATGGTGATGGATTTCTGCAACAGTAAGTCGGAGTGGTGGGAGCTTACTAAGGTGCGGATCAGCAGGTTTTTCAAGGCCATAGGTAAGAAAAAGCAGCGTGATAAATATATCGCCTACCTACGGTTACGGAGGAAGCTCGATCACCTTGTTTCTAGCAGTGGAGATTTTGGGGCAATCTTGGAGGTCAAACTTCTCCTCAGGAAATACCAGTACGATCGGTGTGCCTCTTTGGTTCTGGAAAGGGATTATGGGAAGTACCACTCGCCTTACCCTTTTCAGAATTACAAACAGGGTGCAGCGATTAGGTCTCTGCCTTGAGGGATAGCACAGGGTCCCTGATAAGATCCAGGTCAGGGATTCTGGAGGTCTCTAGGGATTTTTACAAGGACTTACTGAGTGAGAAGTGCCTTAACAAGGCAAGGATGTTGAGCTTCTTGGAATCTACACCAGGTTTGGAGAGTAATGTTCTGCCTACAAGTTTGACAGGAGAAATTACCGCAGAGGAGGTGACTAAGGCCATTGATAGTCTGGCCATTAAGAAAACTCCTGGGCCAGACGGGTTGACAGCTGAATTTTTTAGGAGTTTCAAATCTAGCCTGGCGGAGGTGTATAATTGCTGTTTGAGTGAGGGGTCCCTCCCCCCCCTCCATGAGGCAGTCTGCGGTGATTTTGCTGGCAAAAGGTAAGGATCCTTCGGCTATTAGAAACTGGTGCCCCATTAGCCTTCTCAATGTCGATAGAAAGGTTCTGGCTAAGATCTTGTTCTGGCGCTTGTTGTCAGTGGCAGAGGGTCTGCTTTCTCGTCAGCAGCATTGCTCGGTCCAGGGCAGGAGTACCTTTACCGCGGTGTTAGCTGTCCGGGAGGCTCTGGAGCGTTGTAAGGCTGAAGGATGGGGAAAGTTCTTGCTGACAGTGGATCAAGCAAAGGCCTTTGATCGTGTCAACCATGAGTACCTCTGGTGTCTCCTTGACCGGTACGGCTTGAAAGGTAGGTTTATTGGCTGGTTAAAAACATTGTATAGGGAGGCTGAGAGCTTCATGTTGGTGAATGGCTGGGTTGGGCAGCCTTTTGGGGTTGGATCCGGGGTGCGCCAGGGGTGCCCTCTGAGCCCTTTGCTCTACGTCTTTGCCATTGACCCCTTCGTCAGGAGGTTAGATGGTGGAGCGTTGGGTGGGGTGCCAGGGGTGCTACTGGGAGTCTGCCCCTGAAGTTTGTAGCTTATGCTGATGACGTTTCTGTTTTATCTTTGGGTCTGAGGAGGTGCAGGAGGTGGTCTCAGTGATGGAACAGTATGCTGAGGCGTCTGGCTCCAAAGTCAACCAGGACAAATGTGAAGTTCTCTGGATGGGTAGAGCAGGTGAGAGCTTCTCGCTCCCGGACACCTTCCCGGTGCCTCAGCCAAGCATAAAAATTTTGGGCATCAATTTTGGCCATGCCGATTATGGCAAGCTAAACTGGGAAGCCAAGTTGTCTGATGCAGAGGTCAAGGTCAGATCCTGGAAGGGGTGGCGGCTCTCCTTGAGGGAAAGGGTTGATCTGATCAAGACTTTCCTGATTCCGGTTTTTCTGTATGTCAGTTACATCTGTCTCTTGCCAGAATCACTTTATACGAGGATTTACAGCTGTTTCTTCCAGATGTTATGGGGAAATAGGCTGAACCTTGTTAAGCGGAATGTAATTTATTCATCCAGGCGGGAGGGTGGCCTAGGTATGGTCAACCCAGTAGTTTTTTTCTCTCTGATGTTCTTGAAACATAACTTTGGTAGCATGTTGGCAGACAGACCACCTGCATGGGTAGGACTTTTTCGTGCCTGGTTTGGACCCTTTCTGAACAGTTGGGAGAGTGGCGGGCCAGTGAGAAGCCTGCGGGTCAAGCACGGTAAGCTCCCGGCTTATGTGGCCCCGTGCCTGAAGTTACTCCGGTGGTGGCATGTGATGGCGAAGGAGGTCAGTTCCCTCCCTAGGAAACTCCTGGGTGAGAGGATTGTGGCTACCGCTTTCCATGCGCCGTTGGCCCTGGAAGATTGCCCAGGCCATATCATGAGGGAGGGTTTGCATTTATTAAATATGGAGCGGATCCCCCTGAAGTTGAGGGACCAGGCCTGGCTCGGCTTCCATGGCAGGCTTTACGTAAGGGGCAACCTGAAGTACCGCTCTCTGGATGACCGTGGTTGTCCGAGGGCGGAGTGTGGGGGTGAAGTGGAGAGTATGGACCACTTCTTGCTTCAGTGCCCCTTTAACGTTGAAGTGTATAAAAAGGTGGGTGGGGCTTTGGATGTCTCCTTCCTCCACTGTATGTCTTATGCAGAGTGGGTGTATGGAGCATTTGAAAGCCGCTCGGGTTTTGATTTAGACACCTTGTTTCTAGTTAGTTTAGTGGTCCGTTATTACACGTGGAATGCACGATGTCAGGTTTCCATTCGGCAAAAAGTCCTCCCTGTCCAGGTGGTGGTGAGTGACATTCTTGGTGAGGTTGGGAAAATTCAGGGTCTTGAGAAAGACCGGTGGCGGCAAAAGGCTTGGATGGAGGCGTGGAGGAACATCAGGCCTGTAGCTGCTGCCTGTTGATCTCCGGTGGTGGTAGCTATCCCTGTTTTCTCTCTTTGCACCCCTTTAGGTTTTTTGTAGTTATGGATTTTTTTGAAGAAAGGTTGCAGGTACTGAGGGTCTGTGTTTTTTAGTCTTCCTCTTGGAGTTTTGTGTTATCTATCTTGGTGGGTTCTTGGTTGAGTCTTGGATTTAGGCCGTAAAGGCCTTTTGCAGCAGGAGGTTGGAAATTGTATTTGATCCCTTTGGGTTTGGCCATATAGGCCTTGTGTATGCGTGGTGGGGGCGCTGGGCCTGTTGTTCCCTTCATGACTATATAGGCCTGGAGGCATATGTTCTTTCTTTGCAGCTTATGGACCCATTTTGGGGCCATTAAAGCCATGTGGTGGTAATTATGCTTGTTTCTTTCCCCAGGAAATTATGGACTTTCTGTCACGTATAGTGATTATATTTGTGTTGGGCCATAAAGGCCTTGTGGATACATTTTGGGGGCATTGGGCCTGTTGTCCTGCTTTGTGGGGCGTCGAGCCTGTTGTCTTCTCCATGTCCGTATAGGTCTGGTTGCATATGTCCTTTTTCTTTGCAGGTTATGGACTCTTATGTATGGACTTTTATGTAATGGACCATTAAGGTCATATGTCATATGCCATATTCTATGTTTTTCTTTCCCCAGGAAGTTCTGGGTTTTCAGTCATGCATGGTGGCAAAGTTTTTTGGCCATAAAGGCCTTGTAGATATATGTTGGGGGCATTGGGCCTGTTGTCCTGCTCAGTGGGGCATCGGGCCTGTTGTCTCCTCCATAACTATATAGGTCTGGATGTATAGGCCTTCTTTTGCAGGTTATGGACTCTTATGTTTGGGCCATTTAAAGCCATATGGTTTGCTGTTTCTTCCCCCAGGAAATTCTGGATTTTCAGTTATGCGTAGTGATTATGTTTGTACTTATTTATTTATTTGCAATTTTTTGTACTTTTTTAAAAAAAGAGTTTTAAGTTGGCTGGTTTTGTAAGCTTACATTACAAAATAAAATATTTCCATTCCTGACAGTACCCCCCCTCAAGGAGCAGCCTCAGGACGCTCCAAACAGTCCTTAGTCGGCAAAATGTTCCACCGTCCTGGTCAGGTAACTGGCTAGATATCAGAGGCTGGCACATCAGGCTGGGCAGCGGGCGGAGGCACATCAGGCTGGGCAGCGGGTGGAGGCACATCAGGCTGGGCAGCGGGTGGAGGCACATCAGGCTGGGCAGCGGGTGGAGGCACATCAGGCTGGGCAGCGGACAGAGGCACATCAGGCTGGGCAGCGGACAGAGGCACATCAGGCTGGGCAGCAGACAGAGGCACATCAGGCTGGGCAGCGGACAGAGGCACATTAGGCTGGGCAGCAGACAGAGGCACATCAGGCTGGGCAGCGGACAGAGGCACATTAGGCTGGGCAGCAGACAGAGGCACATCAGGCTGGGCAGCGGACAGAGGCACATCAGGCGAGGCAGCAGGCACCGGCCATCAGACGACGCAGCGGGCACCGGCCATCAGATGAGGCAGCGGGCACCGAGGCATCAGGCATGACAGCGGGCACTGAGTCATCTGGCACGACAGCGGGCACCGAGCCATCTAGCAGAACCGCGGGCACCGGGTCACCAAGCTCGACAGCGGGCACCGAGTCACCTGGCACGACAGCGGGCACTGAGTCATCTGGTTCGACAGCGGGCACTGAGTCATCTGGCACGACAGCGGGCACCGAGCCATCTGGCAGAACCGCGGGCATCGAGTCATCTGGCAGAGCCGCAGGCACCGAGTCACCAAGCTCGGTAGCGGGCACCGAGTCACCTGGCACGACAGCGGGCACCGAGGCATCTGGCACGACAGCGGGCACCGAGTCATCTGGCACAACAACGGGCACCGAGCCATCTGGCACGACAGCGGGCACCGAGCCATCTGGCACGACAGCGGGCACTGAGCCATCTGGCAGAACCGCGGGCATCGAGTAATCTGGCAGAGCCGCAGGCACCGAGTCACCAAGCTCGGTAGCGGGCACCGAGTCACCTGACACGACAGCGGGCACTGAGTCATCTGGCTCGACAGCGGGCACTGAGTCATCTGGCACGACAGCGGGCACCGAGCCATCTAGCAGAACAGCAGGCACTGATTCATCTAGCAGAGCCGCGGGCACCAAGTCACCAAGCTCAACAGTGGGCACAGAGTCATCTGGCACGACAGCGGGCACCGAGTCATCTGGCACGACAGCGGGCACCGAGTCATCTGGCCGGACCACGGGCACTGAGGCACCAGGAAGGACCACGGGCACCGAGGCACCAGGCCAGACTCGGGCACCGAGGCACCAGGCCAGACCAGGTCATCAGGCTGCAAAGCAGGTCATCAGGCTGCAAAGTAACATTATTCGACATGGTTCGGGTCATCAGGCTGGATCAGGAACATCGGGTCATCAGGCTTGATCGGGTCGTCAGGCTTGGGTAGCGGGCACCAGATCATCAAGCTGGATAGGATCATCAGGCTGGGTAGGGTCATCAGGCTGAATCCGGTCATCAGGGTGGATCGGGTCATCAGGCTGGGTAGCGTACACTGGGTCATCAGGCATCAGGGCCTCAGGCTGAACAACGGAAGGCGGGTTCTCAGACAGCAGGCTGACCGGTTTGGATACTGGTAAGATGGTACTGGTTGGAAAGAATTTTCACTTTTTTCTTGGGTTTAGTTACTGGGGCACTGCAAGTAAATGCAGGGCTGTAAATGGATGGAGTAGGTGGAGACAGAGAAGAGCTGGAGGATGGAACAGAGGAGGGAATAGTTGCTACAGCGGCCTTTTTTACAGGGTTAAAGGCAGGATAGGTGCAGTGGGAACAGGGTACTGACAGGTGGTAGATAACAGGGTCGGTAGCAAATGGGCAGGCAAGGTACAAGGAGCAGGCGGAAGAGTAGTCAGGAATAGCCGAGGTCAGTACAGGCAGAGTTCGTGCAGAGTCAGGATTCAAGTAATCAGGATACAGGGGCAAAGGGAAACTATACACCAAGGCCCTGACTGCAGGCCTGGCCACTCCTTAAATACACCTCCTGGAATAAGCCTCAGGTGATGACTTGATTGCAGGAGTGAGCTTCTGGCTGCTGAGAGCACCCGCTGGCCAGCCCTGGTACTGCAGCCCACATGGCAGGTGAGTCCCACCACCAGTGGTGAGTCCATTCCTGATACCAACAAACATTAAATGTTGCTTTGTGCAATAAATATTTTTATACAAATAAATAAACAATGATAAACACATCATTTAAACTTGTAAATCTTTAAAGCAAACCCAAACTAATGAGTTCTCTTTAAGAGAACGTTATTTTGGGTTTTACTTGAAAATTAAAAGTAAACATAAATAGCTGAAGGCATAAGATAAGTTGATTTTTTTCATATTATTAAAGGAAGTGTATCTTTCCAATGAATTAGAAAACATTTCTATTTTAATGTAGCTTCTGCTGTCAGACAATCCCAAAGCAACATTATTCGACATGGATTTTTCTCTGTTTTTTGATTGCTTTGCTGACTGCTATGTCATTGTGCTGGCTTTGCTTGCATTCCCCTCAGGATGAAAAAACTGATCTCCAGGCTAGCTAAAGTTGTGACGCTGAGCTTCTGATATATCTGGCCCCAAGGGGAGAAATAAGTCGTTACCTTGTCAAAGCTCAATTTTCCACTCTCCCTTTTCTTTGGGGTAATATTTGCTTTGTCTCCATGACAACAAGAAAATAAGGCCATGTCATTTGAAAGCATTGTCAACAGATAAACTAATATTAGTGGCCTGGCTATTTCCCAACAGGATCTTAAATGTATTATATTCTTCAATTACAGTTTGTCATTATGGACGTGACTTTCATAATACACAGATTTTTATTAAAAACTATTTAAAGCTTAATAATGTAAAAGTTATGCCTATTTTCTAATTTTAGATAATGTTACATTTAGCATAGGTTAACTATTACATGTATTTATATTTTACATGGTAATACTCATTCATATTTATGTATTGACATCAGTTAACTGATTTGCCAGATTTTCAGTCTTGACTCAAAGAGATTAATGTGCAACAGACTAACCCTGATTGAATAAAGCGCTGTATTTAATCAGGATTAGCCTGTTGCACATTTGTTTGAGGGGGGTTTGGTCTCCACCTTAAAGTGGTTGCAAAGTTTTTTTGTTTTTTTTTTCTTCCTAAAATAAAAAAAAGTCATGTTTACCTGCTGTGTACAATAGTATTGAACAGAGCAGCCTCAATCCTCCTCTTCTGGGGTCCCCCTCTGGAGTTCCTGGCTCCTCCTCTTCTGCATGTGCCACCACGGGAAGCCGCTTCCTATGGTGGCAGATGTGCTGGTTATCTCAGCAAGGCTTGGCCCCATCCCCTGCTCCCTGCTCATTGGGTTTGACTGACAGAGTCAGGAGCCAAGGGCTCCCCCTTTTCTCAGCCAAGCCTGTGAGAGAGGATAGAAGACCTGCAGATGAGCACTATGCTGGATTGATACGGGACTCAGATAAGTATATGAGGGGAAAGGGGGGGAGTTGCAGGTACTTACATTTTTTTTTTTACCATAATGCATTGAACCACTTTAAAGCCTGACTATCATTTTGGGTATAGTAATAGGGGTGCTGGAAATATGGGTGAAGTGCTGTGGGTGCACTCTGTTTTTACACTTTTCTAACTTGGGGTGCTGCAAAAAAAGGCAGATAATAATAATAAGTGGATGGTCAGTAACAAGTGACATCTGTGCTCTGATCAGCCTAAACTGGATTTTTATACATACTGTATACTTTTTTTTTGTTTCATTGCTTTGGCAGGCTCACCTACCCAACTGAATCTCTGGTATTACCACCACTGCTACTAATTGTGCAGTAGTTGGCTTGTTTAAAATTGGTCATGGGCATACAGTATTTGGTCAATGACATCACCCAGGTTTCCAACTGCTATGATTCTAAGCTGTGTATGTTTTTATTTATTTTACTTTTTTGTAACAAGGGGTACTGTGGGGTAACTCTTACGCATTCACTTTGGGGTAAGAGACAGATATCTTGTTGCTTTGAAAAGGCAGTGCAGCATACAAATGTTGTACAACTTAAAGCTCTTTTGTTAATGCAAATTTTCAGATGGTTTATTTTTTTTTTTTCTGGCTAACTGGTAAGTTTGTTGAGAAATATGTTTTGTCTTGTTTGGTCTGTGGAAAGCAACTCCATGTGCACCTTTTAAGTACTTAAAAGTACTTAAAAATTGTTGAATATCTTATTTTAAAGGGGACTTTCAGATTGTGATAAGGTTACCCCCACAAATACTATCCAGGGATGTGGGGACGAGGCCCTTGTCCCCATTTACAAACATAACTGACCGATAGGGAGTTGTCACTTAGTGTAAAAAATCACTTTTGCAGGATTACACTGTACTGGTGTCACACTTTACTTAAAAGTTTCAGGCATCCCCCAAGCATGTTAATTAAATAACTTTAGCATCTTAATTATTGCACTTTAAGTCATTTTAAAAGACACAATCCCTGCTGGTTGGTATTTTTTGCCGCCTCTGGCAGAGCTCAGCTACCTATGCTCTCTTTTTAGGAAAATCTTGCAAACTGGCCTTGAGTTCTCAGCGCCACTGTGAGCAGAGAGCTGCCTGCTTTGCAACCCCCCTAGGGTCAATAGAGTGCTGGACTGTTGTGGAGGGGAGCTATGGGGAACGGCTGACTCAGGCTCTCAGTGGTTCTCAGCTGAAAACAGGTCACAGGAGAGCAGAACGAACAGCACTCCTGTGATCCACAGGCAAAGTACAGCCAAAAGTGCTTTGGCTGTACTGTTCCTTTAGCAGCAAGAAGAGACTGCTTCCCACAAATCTACCCATAGCTTTCCTTTTTCTTATTTTGTTTCTTTATATGTGCTACATTTCCTAACTGTACAGTTTTCATCTGGAGAACAGCAACATTTTAAAAAGTAAGGACTGATATGAGAAATGTTTAATCCTAATGCATTCAGGAAGAAACATTCCTTTTGCATGACTGATATAATAATGATAATATGATATGTACAGTATATGATAATGATATAATAATGATATATTAATAAAATTATATGCATATAATGATATAATAATGTAGTGATACCCCCCGAAGGGGCTGCTTAAGTTTGTTCACTCCGCCACTCTGCCTCTCAACCCCAAGAATTGTCTCAGCCCCAACTGACACACGTGGCAATAGTGTAAGTGCGAGGACCAATGAAAAGCACACACTTTATAATAAAACACAGAGATAACCTTTACTGTAAGATCTCTATGGAAAGTAATAATCAATAGCAACAGGTATACGTTAGGTGAATCAAGAGAACAGCAAATACTGTGACTGAAAGCAATATAGCTCACTTTTATACTCAGGCTGCTTTCAGGGGATTCCAACCGTGAATAACCCCAAGAGCAGAGGCAAATACTTAAATGGCAACCTCAAAGTGGGTTTAACTCATCTACATAAATTTGGCTCTATGATGTCCAAGCAGGAGGAGAGCAGAAGAATGACTCTCTATTGTGTCAGACTTCTCCCTTCTAACCCCCAACACTACAAGCCCAATAGGCAAACACTATGCCCAACTGATGCCTAATAGCTACTTTCCAAAGTAAAGCTATTCTGTCACACACCATGCATTATAGACACCTGAATATGCATGCGCGTGCCCGTATGGCACCAGTAACTTCAGTCTTTTGGTAACAGGATGAATCTTGGGATCTTCAGCTAGCCACTTTCGTTGGTGCACTTAAACTCCTATGGTAAAATATAATTGTAATCCCATGATAGTATTTGTATAGAAAAGCCAATACTGTCTGTTTAGCAGGGCCATCTACACAACCCAGTGCCTGGTAAGTATGGGCGAAGTGTAATGTCTCTGTCTGTGTGCAGTGTTCCTGTCATGTGCCAGTGGGCAAAATCCCTCTCACCAGATCTTGTGACTAAGGCCCAAACGATCATCTTGGAAATGACAAGCTCCTTTGATCACCTCACAATGAGCGCTTCACACTGTCGGTGTAGGCACTGTACTGTAGGTCCACATCGCTCAGTTTGGATGTCCCCTTGACTAACTAAACACGCAGTGAACTGACCCTAAGCACTTCTCTGATAGGTCCAGACTCTTCCCTGCCACATGCAGACTGCCTCCCTTCAGGAAAAACATGATGCGCGTCCTTCATTCTGCTCTCACTAAGCATGCTGGTCTCTGTAGTTCCATTCCTCCTACAAGCCTATCAGGCCGTTTCTGTTCAAGACTGCATATTCCACAATGCTTTGCAGCTAAACCTCCTGCTTGAGAAAGTCCCTGTCATTGGCTCCTTTAATGGCTCTTCTGATTGGCTCTCTCTCTTTTACAGTCTTATTTATTAGTATAATAAAAAAAAAAATTCTGGCAACAGTTTTTCAATCAGTTTCATTGTAAATATAACAAACTACAAAGCAACAATGAAATAGCTGGGCAGCACATTGGTAACACTAGGGTCATCAGTTTGAATCCCAACCACGACACTACCTGCCTGGAGTTTGCATGTTCTCCCTGTGTCTGTGCGGATTTCCTCTCCGGTTTCCTCCCACA